TATTATTATTTTATTATTTTAAATTTTTTTTATTAATAATAATAATATTATTTTTTATTTTAAATATAATAAATATTCTGGGAAGTAGACATTCGCAAATATAAGCATTAGATAAAATGCATAATCTTACAAATCTTTATAATTTTTTTTTATTATTTTATGTATTTTTTTAATTATTAAATTAAAATTTTCTGAAAAATAGTTACTAAGCAGTACGGTTAGTGTTTTGGGTGAAACTATTTTTTAAAATCTAAAACATCTGGCCTGGCTATGAACCGAAATCTATCCAAAATCTACGAACTCTAATTTGGATATATTTTTGCAGATCAATTCAGCAAAATTAGTTTCGCCTGAAATATCTAGATACAGCATAGAAACTAGAATATGAAATTATCTGCAAATATAAGCCATTTAGCGGGAAATACTAATTTTAATATTAAATTTCATCATCCTTTAATGGATAAAAAACATTATATATAGACCTCAATATTTTCTTAAATAGGATCAAGAAAAAAAAATTAATAAATTTAACAATACTTTAAATCATCATACTTACATAAAATTACAAATGGTTAATTACAAGTGCTTATTTTGTGAGCGTACATTTAGTAGTCATTCAGGGTATAGCCAATATGTTAATATTTGCGATCAATCTATTAGTGATAAAAGTAATGATTCTATTATGGATATTAATGAAGTTTCGCTAGAAAGTGAAGATATTTTTAATTCTATTGAAATACGTTTTTTAACAAAGTATTGTGATATAATTTTTAAATATTTTTAAATATAAACATATATATCATTCATTTTAGATGAATGACGAAAGTTTATATGAATATATTCCTCTGCCTGTTGAAGAATTACTTTTAAGTGATGATCATAACAGTAATTTTGAAAATATTATATTTGAAGATTCAATAATAAATCAAGATATTTTAGAACCTGAGTCTGATGTGAATGTAAATTATCCTAACAAAGCATATGAAGATTTTATGACATTAGTAATTAAAAATAAATTAAGTAATAATACAGAAAATGAAATAATCCATTTTTTTAATAAATATGCAAATCTTGTTACATCTCCACTATCTAAATCAACTGAATAAGGACGACGATTTATGGATAATATGAATCAACTAAATTTAGATTACCAAAAACTTGCATAATAACCTATAATAATATAGAATATTATCTTTATCATCTAAATCTTATAAATTGCATAAATAATATTTTGACAATTCCTGATATAATGCAAAATTTTGCGTTAAATTTTGAAAATCTTGAGGTAATTATTTAAATTTATGTAATTTAATATTTATTTTTAATCACATTAATATCAATAATCATGTTTAAATAAATTAAAGATTGACAGAGAAAGAATATATAACGAATAAAATACTGGCATATAGTGGAAGAATACTGAAGAATGTTTACCAATTAGCGTAAAACTTTTATCCTTAATATTATATTCTGATGCAACAAACGTTGATACATTGGGAAAAAGTCAACTACATCCTATATATATAACTATTGGCAACATTAAAAATTGGCAGCATAATAAACCTGATGCAAACAATTATTGAGATATTTATTAATTTTATCAGCAAATGATAATTCTAATAAAAAATCTATCAAATTTAAGAGAGCAGTATGAGAAGCTTTCCATAATTCCCTAAAAGTACTTTTATATTCCTTTAGCAAAGAAATCACTTAGCCTTAAAAACTGATTTTATAGTTTCATATCTTGTACGAAATGTCATAAACTTTATAACAGAAATGAAGTGGTAAACTTTCAGCAGAATGATACTTTATTGATTATGAAATTCAATTATATTTAATTTCTGAATTTATTAATTTGTAAGTTAGGACCTTATAATATACCATTGTCTCGTAAAACGTAAAACAGATAATTCAAATTTTTTTCATCTAAAATTAATTCATTTATTTACTAGCATTTGAGAACAATTTAGTGTTATGTTTTGTCGACAAGGGTTTGAAAATTATCTATATCATTAGGCTAATAGAACAAGTTTTGGTAACATATTAGCTGACATATATAATAGACAAGTTTAGAAGACATTTAAAGAAAATGGTTTAGAAATCTTACTGAAATTTTTCAGACCTGATATAGCTGATTTACATTGTAAACGGATAAAATATGATAGGATCTATATGGCGCAGATGATTGACAAATCTGACAAATCTGACATATATGATATATCTGACATGATTGACAAATCTGACATATATGACATATCTGACATGATCGACAAATAAGATATATTAGATAGATTAGATATATATGACATATCGGACATATTTGACATATACAATATATTAGACATATTAGTTATATCTTTCTATATACTGTATTTTATATAAATAGATAGC